GCTTCTGAATAGACTCCTTTTCCTGTTCAAAACAACAACAATATTGTTGTTATAGGAATCCTTTATATATTCAAAATTTGTCATATGCAATTTCATAAATTAAAAAAAAATTTACATCTACTTCTAAGCTATAAAATCTTAAGTTTCATTTATTTCCAACACTGTTTTATTAACGTCTCCATTTTTGGTTTTACGTACTACTTTCAATCCTTCATATTCATACTTCTTACTATTTATGTTAACCACGGTGTCTAATAATTTTCCATTAGAGAAACCACAAGCTCTTCTTAAGAGTTTTTTTTGCAAAATGGGAAAAGCCGAAAATCTCTAAATGTTTTCTTCTCAGGGTAACAGACAGAAGAAACACAGAACCCACCCCATCTGATGTCTCCTTCTTCAGGTTGCCCAGGCTGGTGGACTTTTGCAGACTTGAAGTTCTAAAAATAACAATAATAATAATTAGGATTAATAATAAGTGGCTCTGGTGCCACTGTTTCTATGTAGAACATCTTGGAAAGAAACTAAAATTGTGTGTGGGTTGAATCCTGGGAATGAAAGAAAATCTGGAATCAGGCAGTCACTTATGTGCTTAGCTAAATTATAACATTTAGTTCTTTTAAAAGCAGGGGTGGTTAACTGTCCTGCCAATAACTTTAAATGTCCTGTACATGTCAGAATAGCTGGAAAAATACTTAGGACTATCCTTGTGATGTCAATATTTGAAAATAAACCAGTGTTTTCCATGGACAAATGGTATACTCTTTGCATGTATACATTTATACTAGAACCTTTTAAATACTCCTGTACTATTTATACCTAGTACCTCTAATTAAAATAAAGAATGAAAGTTTGACTTTTCAATTCACAAAAGAATCACTCTTCTGAGTCTGGCAAAGCAATTCATTTTATAGTTCTGATCAAAGCATAATAGCGGAATCCCTATTGCTACCATAAGAATTCATCTGCTATCCCAGGGAAGGCAAAGTGACACTATAAATATCCAGAAACTGTCTCTTTGACATGATTATATTCAATTATATACAACTGGTTTTACTCAAAAATTGAAGGCAGGAATATGAGACCAGTTTAAAAAGAGAGAGAGAAAAAAGTAATGTGTTTGCTCTAAGAAATATAATATCATGAATATACAAACTTTTAAAAGGCATTTCTGCTATACTTATGTGTATATGAGGGGTCTTCATGAAGGAGAGAACAGAACTGTGGTTACTAGAGGTGGGAAAGGGGGAGGGAGCTGGGGAAAGGGGTTAGGGAGAGAGTGATTAATGGACACAAAGAATGTTTACAATTTGTAATGATGAATATACTAATTATACTGATTTGATCATCACGTATTGTACACAAGTATTGCTAGTCAGCTCTGTACCCCACAAACATACATAATCAATTATGTTTCAATGTAAAAAATGCAAAATAGATCAATAAATAAAACAAAAAGTTCATGGAAAGATTCATATTATCTTTTATTTTTATTTTTCCATGAACTTTTTGAAGTACCCTTGTATAAGATGCTAGAAGTATCAACAACCAAATAAAGTAAAAGATAACGTGAAAAGATCTCATCTCTGAGTACTGCTCTGAAAATAGACTTTCCTAATTTAATCCAGACTTTAACTTGGATATACATAGATATTAAGTCAGTTTATTAAATTGAAAGTTTTTCCAGCCATCACATCACTCTCTGTGATTCTTTTCTGTGGGACTCAAAATATGTCAGTACGAAAATGAATTAAAAGCACTGAACTTCAAATGAAAACTGGTGAAAGGCAGCTAAAGATCTGCAAAAACTCGGCATGAGATAATGGTAAACGAGCAAGTATTTCTTTGTGAACTTACAGCCCTCTACCTTCCCCCCATCATTACAGCTGCATTAATTTATTCATTTATTTAACAGCCTCAGTCATTCACTGTTAATATTTCTTATTATCAGGGTAACAGAACTCTCTTCTTCACAAGTCTCAATCATCAATCACATTTTTCACATCCAATAAAATATAACTTACAAAGTTATATAAAATATAACTTACAGACTGTCACAAAGTTGGGTTTCAACAGCAGCACCAAGGCTTCTTTTTCCATCACTAAAACATAAAAAAAAGTATTTATTAGCTTCATGAATAAAAGACCATATATATTCAAAGTGAACTGAGTTGTCAAAAACAAAAAATTGTGCAAAGGAAGCTATTTCTAGTTTTGTTAAAAATATTTTATTACATTTTATTTGTCCTAAATGTAAAATTAGACAATTAATTTAAGAATATGTTGGCAAAAAATTCTGTTTGCCTACAGAGAAACTACGTATCCCTCTCCCTGCTCCTTCACGGCCATCCTTCAAAAGATCTCATGGCACATGACTGTTGCTATCCTGCTTACAATCCTTCGATGGTCACCTATGACCTAAGATATAAAAATCCAAGTTCCTTAAAATCCCTCTCTAACCCGACCACCCAACCTCCGCAGCCTCACCTCCTACCACTACCTGCTTCACACCTTTTATTTTAATAATACAGAGCTGATTAGGGGCCTCCCGGCACATGCCTCGCTGTTTCTTACTTCTCTGGGTAAAAATTGTGTCTGTAAATAAATGTGATGCACTCTTGTTTTTGAGTGATCTACTTTTTTGAACATTTATATTGCAATGTTAGGTTATAAATAACATACTCCTCTTCAAATGAAGTCTCTGGCTTAGGAGGCAACTTTGATTTTTCAGACGTTTCCACACCTGTAGATGCTGGCAATAATGACGGGATTGAAACTTGCAAGATGCTGGTGTGGAACTGTAATATAATTATAAAAAGTCAATCAAACAAGCAAAATACAAACCACAGGGTAACAAAACATAAATGAGTAAATGGTCTAATCAATAAAATCTCACACACCTGTGTTTAGAACTCTACTATGTATAAAAATGATTTCAGAATATAAATACCTGCATAGGACAGTATTAATCAGAGAAAACATACTGGAGGAAGGCAATTTTTGAACTTCATTCTGAATAAGACCCTGAATATTGTGAATGACACATAATAAGGACTCTTAAGCAAGTTAACAGGAAATCCTAACAATCTTAAGCCCTGGCTGAAATCTTGGCTCTGA